AGAGTGAGCTTATTCAGGAGAAGTCCTGATGCCAGTGACTATAAGTTCAAATGTGTTGGCTTGGGCGACACTCCTGTGGTGATTTAAAAATGCTGTTTTCGAAACTTCCAGAAATAGTATACATAATGGCTTAATGAAATCTTCTGAAGCTTAACATTATTCCTTATGGGTCATAGTGGAGGCGGAGGTGGTGTAGTGACAAGTGGCGCGCTTACCACTCGCGCGGCGCCGGGTTCAAATCCCGGGTCGACTCCCGCCCAGGCCAACCAAGCCTTCTACCCTCCGGGGACGGTAATTGGTACCAGATTCGTCTGGGAGGATAAAACACTGACTTGTACATCGGCTGGCAAGTCATTGTATAGGCCACATCGCATTCAATAAGCCACTACGATTCTGAATGGAAGTAGAATGCGTGCCGCATCCCACAAAGGGACTCTTTATCCTTTGTTGTTGGGTCATAGTGATTTCCGACCCATTGTGTCTTGAGTTTCCTGCACGGCCACTGTGCTGAAGTCGAGGAAGGAAAATATGAGTTCTGAACTTAGAAATCGTCGCTGACCATGCCACATTTCTTTGATACCAGCTCTTGGAACCTGTAAATAAATACTTCAACTCCGAAACGGTAGATCTCGAAAATGTATTAAAAAAATGACGTCTTAGTAGTTGATTAATCTTTTTTGGTACGCGGCAGGCATTCTATTTCCATTCTTCAGAATAGCAGTCACATATTGAGTGCGGTGCGGCCTATATAATGACAACGGGGCCCAGCCAATGTACAGGTCGGTGTTTTTATCCTCCCAGAGAAAATCTTTTGCCCTTATGGCTGCCGTAATGCCGATCCGGGGTTTTCACCCTTGGAACGCGCGCGTGGTAACTGTGCCATTTACCACTGCACCTCCGCTTCGAAGGATAGATAGAAATGAAAAGATCTACCGTTATCTTCTATCGATGTCGTCGTTAATATGGAAGCTGCTTGATTGATCGACTTTTTCAAACTTCTAGAATGTTTATGCGAAAAGAAGTTTTAATTACTGCAGCAGTCAGCGATTGTTGATAGTTACTAACTATTCTCGACCAAATAACATCCAGCCAACTGTCAACTCCCTTGTACCATTTCACTTCCGCTGGCATGATCACCTTCAAGGAAGACTTCCAGCAGCAGATCGGCTGACACCATCATTTGCGTCATTAGGTATGAGGAAATGTCGTCCCAGAGTGCCCTTGTAAGGAAACCGAGGATAGACATAATTGCTGCTGGCTTGTCCGCACATGATGCATGAAACCGGGACCTTTGGAAAGCTTCGGGTAAAAAGTGCACACGACAGCATTTGCACAGGAACTCAGGGAACAATAAGAAAATAAATTGTTGTTTGTTTGTCATTAATCACCTTGTGCGTCAGTTTACTACTCCTCCAACCATCTTGTACTGGATGACTGGCCCATGTTCTACGGACATTCTTCATTGATTTTGATATGTGTTTTCAGTGCTGAAAATCGGCGTGAAAAGAAACTATTGTTTGATTTAGGTCACCAATAATGGATTATGTGATAACCTCGTGCCAACTGACGAACCCGAGTTAAGCCTGCTGGACTGCGATGAGGAACGAAAAGGGCATACGGTTGTCAGAAATTTCATTAGAGGCTGGAAAGTCGCGCGTAATGAGCTTGTACGTCGAGTGAGCATAACTTTTTGTTTCTTATTGCGGAATCACTTTCTTCTTCAGCGTTTCATACCACATCACGAAGTCATTTCAGACGCTGTTCTACTCCGATATAATTGGAATGTCGACTTCTGTTGAGCTGAAGACCTGTGGGCATACAGTGCATATCAAGTGTTTCAATGCTTATCGTGAAACTCTTCGAGTGAGTCTCTTAATGGATGCCATGTAAATACAGAGCTTCGCAGCGGGTTTGGCGGTTCCCGTTTCAGTTTTTCTATAAATTGCAAAATCGTGGAGGGAGACCCGTGAAGCAGCTGGCTGGGCATGCTTTTTATGTGACTGTCTACAAAACCAGGTTTTCGACTGTTTTATTGAGGAGTATGGCTCTGATGTGCTATTACTTGAGCTCTTTGCACAGTGAGAACTACAAAACTTTTGAAAGAAGCTCCTTACGTGACCTTCCCATTTTGAAGGCATATGGCGCGATAGTTTGGTGCTCTGTACGAAATGGTGGCACGGGTCTCAAAAAAGGGGAAAAGGGCGAAAAAGCGAAGTGAAACGGTCAAAAACTCGCAAAAAACCTTTGTTCTACAGACTCAGAAAGCAATTTTGGACGAGTTCCCCGTTGGCATCGTGCCAGTAACTGCTACGGTAGATACGGCTGCATGTATGTACTCATATATCCATGCAGCACCGCAGTCATATCAATCCCTTCGCTTCATATTGTACTTCGCAAATGAAGCGATACGAGCATCAGCATCGGTCGGACATTTGTGAGCGGGTGGGCGCGGTGGGCGTCCGGGTCGGCATGTTGCAGCTTCGATAGGGCGTTGTAAGAGTACCCTCTTTGGAAAAGGCGCCACGCAGCGCCTGCTCAGGGACGCCGAATTCTTCCTGCTAAGCGTATTAGTTGTACACGTCTTGGCGATTTATCGTGTCACTTGCCTTTGGCGGTGCATTTTGCCATTGCACTTCGTTTTCTTCGTTTGGCCCCGAGAATGATATGTAGTGTTGTAACTCTCTCTTCAGAATGACCAACGCCTGCGTGCTACGCATATTGAATCTCCTACTCACGCTTTCGTCCTACGTTATCGTGGTTTCCTTTTGGCCCGGTTATAAACGTGGGAATGCACTTTTACCTTATCGTGGTTCACTGGGTTCAGGCCGCAAATATGACACTATTGTGTGATAACTCGCTTCAATGGTGCTTAGTTTTATTTCTTTTATATACGAGTTGTTCTTACGATCCTAGGACCCCGCAAGCGGGCGTTGCGTGCGCGCAGCCGTTTTCACCCAGTTCAGCCAGCTTGCCACAATTGGTGCAAAACGAGTTGCGCCCAAACGCCAACCCAGACACATCAGTTGTGCGAAATGCCCAATAAGGGCGTCGTAATCTGACGCCAGCAGGTGAGTCGTATTTGCGACTCGAAAAATTATTTATAGTTATGTTTCTCCTTCATGGAGGATCAAGGGAGGGGTCGATATTCATCATTTTCTTGGGGAGGAGTGGAGGGATCTATCTTCTCGCGTGTTTTCCGGTTTCACATTAGTGCATTTATCCTCCACCCTTGACGGCTTCGACTATGAGGAGGACAGAGTTGGGGTGGGGTCGCTACCAACTCCCAAAAAAAAGGGGCGGCCGTATAGCAGTCGACTTATAAATCCCCAAACAATGAATGTGCCAATGAGTTGCCCTGCCAAACCCAGCCCACTTCCGAGGACGCTCCAGTATCCGCAGCAACAAGTACGCCGAACAAACTATCACACATCTCTCCGTTGCACAAATTATCGCAGCGGTATTGAGCATTTGAAATCCTGTGATATTAGACTGCATCGTCAATTGTGAGCGAGAGATCCCACTATGGGTGCGTTGGGTGGTGCGGGT